GGCAGCAGCTGACACCCAGTGGGCTCTCACTCCTACACGAGCTCAGCTTCATCCTAATTTGCCTACATCCTTTTTAACCTCTCTAAATTATTTGCGTCCATGGTATCCTATGAGAATCCGGTGCCCAGACCACCCATGACTTTTAGTCATATATATATATATAAAATCATAGAATCATAGAAATATATATATATATAATCATAGAATCATAGAGTAGTTAGGGTTGGAAAGGACCTTAAGATCATCCAGTTCCAACCCCCCTGCCATGGGCAGGGACACCTCCTACTAAACCATGGCACCCAAGGCTCTGTCCAACCTGGCCTTGAACACTGCCAGGGATGGAGCATTCACAACCTCCCTGGACAACCCATATATACATATACATATATATATATATGTATGTATGTCATCTGCTCAAAGTACTTCGTGGCATTTAACTCGATATTGGTTTCACTCATTAAACATTCTCTCCCATTGGAATGAGCAGCCCTTTGCCAGGGAAAAAGCCACATTTGGGAGTCCCATCAGCTCCAGGGTCTGTCCTCCAGCGGTGCAAGACCATGCACCAGCCCCATATCCACCGAGAAGAGGCTGATAGGAACATGGATGTTACCACCTAGCGTCAGGCAGGAGAGGAGCAGCAACCTGGAATGAAGAGGATGGGGATGAGGACCTGGCCGAGGATGACTCTTGCTTTGTAAGTGTCGGACTGCAAATCCAGAGCCTGCGGATCATCCCGGACACCTCCGCTTCCCTGGCCAGCAGCATGAACATGAGTTTTCTACCCCTCCAACTGGGATGGGTTTGAGAATAACAATGCACAATACACTTCTGGGGAGGAAGAGTGCCGAAAGAGTCCCTCTGTGCTTTGCTCTGTCTCCAGCCCAAGACTTGCAGATAATTCTTTCCTGCCATTATACATTTAGAATTCAATTTATAAATTAAACGCTCCATCTGTCAAACTGAAAGCACTCTGCTTACCCAGGCCCTGGAAACACAACCACTGTTGAAATGCTGTGCCCCATGGCAGGGAGGAAGCCTGAACTGAACTGCAAAGGGCCGTGAGATGGGTGGGGAGAGCAGAGGAGCAGGAGAGGGGAGAGGAAAGGGCACATGGAAGGGTCTGTTCCTACACCCAGCCCTGGGGAAGCCATGGACAAAGCACACCAGCATTGGCCAGCCCAGCCTGCACGCCCAGAGCAGCACACATTGAGCCTGTCCTGGTCTCAGCAGCCCATCTGGTTCCTGTTAAATCAGCCACACAAGGTGGAGAGGGTTTCCTCCCCCCGCCTTACAGCGTGCAAAGAGGGGGAGGCAAAACAGCTTTTTTAAGGCATGGCTGCCCTTCTCTTTACCTTCCTGCCTGGAAGGCAGCCAGGAGCAGCTCCTGCCTCCCTGCTCACATCTGGAGGGAACCTTCCCCTCGCTGGGCTGACTGCACCAAGCACTGCTCCTCTGTACAGGCGTTGCTCCTGCACCCCGGGCACACGCTCACCCCGGGTCTCACTCCCGTCACCACAACAGCATCGTCCTGAGCCACTATTTCCAGCCTGCGGGGCTTCCCAATGCTTTCATCCTTGCAAGGAACCAAGCAGATGAATCAGGTTTGCAGCAGGCAGGGATGCTCTGGAGCGAGGAGGGATGCTCCTGCCTGAGGATGAGCAGGGGCTCAGCCCTCGTGGGAAACACCCCCAAAGCAGACATTAGGTCATCCTAAACCCCATATAAACCACCATAAACCCCACAGCACCTTCCCAAAAAAGGCTTGAGTGTGCCACCCAGCCAAAGGAGCACGACATCACCTGCACACAAAAGCCAAGAGCCGAGAGCTCAACTTGCTTGGGCACAGGACCGCACTTCACTCGCATCCCCCCACACTGCAAACCCATCCATGAACCAACCCACAAGGCGAGGGGCTGAGTCCCAGGGTGAGCGCTGGCATTGGTGGGGAGGAGAACAGAGGAGCCAGATAGCAGGAACGGAGCCTGCACACCCGGTGGCAGCAAAGAAACACGGACGAGCACAGGCAGGAGACTGGCAGGCAGCACCGAGAGCATCCGGGGAGATGAATGGACGGGGGGAACCCAGAGGGATGGATCCTGCAAGCCAGAGGTAAGGGGCAGGACCTTCCCAAAGGCCAGAGAGTCAGGGGATGGCAGAGGCAATGTCAGCACATGCAAAGCACCGGGTGAGGATCCCACCCTGCTTCCTCATCATCCTGGTTTTGGTTTTTAACCAAACCCCAAAGCACTTCCATGAAAGAGGAGAGATTTGGATTCGACATTAGGAAGAGGGTTTTCCCTGGGAGGGTGCTGAGGCGCTGGCACAGGGTGCCCAGAGAAGCTGTGGCTGCCCCATCCCTGGCAGTGCTCAAGGCCAGGCTGGACACAGGGGCTTGGAGCAAGCTGCTCTATGGAAGGGATCCCTGCCCGTGGCAGGGGTTGGAGCTGGAGGAGCTTTAAGCTCCCTTCCAACACAACCAGGCTGGGATTCTCTGATTCTATAACTCGATGCAAACAGCCCTTCAGGACACATCACGATCACGTCTCACCAAGGCTGCAATGGATTCAGGCTCCTGCCGAGATTTCACCCCTTTGGGAGCAACGGAACCAGGCAGCGGCTCCTTGGGCAAGCCACAAGTCAGTGGTCAGGTCCTCTGATGAGCGTGGCACATCCCAGCCAAGCCTGGGAACATCTCCCCGCCGCTGCAAACATCCCCAGGCATCCTGCTCGCATGCACCAGAGCGCTCACAGCCGCTTCTGCACGATCCAAGGTTGGAAGGAATGAGCCTCCCAGAGCCGGCTCAGCTCGGTGCTAACGCGGTTACTCACACCCAGGGGAGAGCAGGAGCAGGATGGAGGAGGTGAACCGAGGTGAACACAGCTCCTTCATTACAACCCTGGGTCAAAGGAATGGACACAAGGGGGATCACGGCTGTCGTGGCCCCAAAGAGGCTGGCCAAGGAGCGATTTCCCCTTCAGCTGTGTCAGAAGAGGTGGTTCTGTTCCTCACATTGGCGCACAACAAGTATAATCCCACTGGTTTTTAAGCCTCCATAACACAAATCAGCCTCCTAATATTTTACTCTTGGACACTTCCCAAATGGCTTCATGGCAAAGCAGCTACACGGAGTGATTCAGGGGCTGCCCGCAGCTGACAGTGACAGCCAGATTGATGGCAACCAAGTTATTTTGTCTCCTTTTGCAGCTGACTACATTTGCATTGGTATGTTCATGGTGCAGACTCCACCTTTCATCTAACTTGATTAATTCTGTTGTAAATACAGAGAAAGAACCAGCTGCTTCTGGCTTTTTAGCTTCGACCGAGCAGCTGATGAAAACAACTCCTTTTGTTCAAGCATCTCCAGAGCCTCTGCAGACTTTATGAAGAGCCTTTTATTCTAAAAGGTTAGAGAAACTCCGTGTTTGGAGCTGGTGCATCCTGCTGGCCTCCCCACAGAGCTGGATGGTACCTGCTGCAATCAAAGTGCCTGGGGCAGCACACCCGGTGCTGTCCGGTTGGGTCCCCCATCAGCCAGGGATGTAACAGGGCATCAAAGAGAGAAGGCTTTGCTTGTGTCCTTGCAGGGTTCCCATAAGCACGGCTCCTGCCTGGTCAAGGGAGCCTGGAGGGCTCCAAAACCAGCCCAGGGACCCACAGATCCTGTGGCAGGAACAAGGCAGCCAAGATAAAACAGCGTTTCCATCCATAAACCGTAAGGGCTGGGCAGGTTGTTCACTGACCAAACACACTGCACGTCCTCAGCCACACAGACCGCAGCGTGGGGCTGGTAAAGGAAGGGTGAAGAGAACACGGTGTGCTAAGAGGCTGGGGTGTCAAACAGAAAGGAAAGAGTCTGGTAACAGAGCACGGAGGAGCCTGGCCAGGAGATGCCGTTTGTGAACCAGCCACTAAGAGGTGTCAGCAGCTCTCCCGGAGCCCCGGCAGCTCCTCCAGCTCCCACTTCCCACCAGATTCCTCCTTTTCCCCATTTCTTTAGCAATGCCCAGTCCCAGCTCTGCCAGGGGCAGCCACTGACCCCGTACACCCGGGGTTTGCTCCCAGCTGGGGTGAAAATGTACCCAAAGCCCAAACCCTGACCCCAGGCAGTTTGGAGGAGCTGAACTACCCCCGTGTGCTCCCAGCAGTCCTGAGAGAAGCACAAAAGGGTTTGCCTTGTAGCATGGGGACAAGGCTGGCTGGGGCAAGGATGCCAGGAGCAGGGATGCCGGGGAGCAGGGATGCGGGGCAGCAGGGATGCCGGGAGCAGGGATGCGGGGCAGCAGGGATGCCGGGAGCAGGGATGCGGGGCAGCAGGGATGCCGGGAGCAGGGATGCGGGGCAGCAGGGATGCCGGGAGCAGGGATGCGGGGCAGCAGGGATGCGGGGAGCAGGGATGGCGGGGAGCAGGGATGCGGGGCAGCAGGGATGCGGGCAGCAGGGATGCGGGGCAGCAGGGATGCGGGGCAGCAGGGATGCGGGGCAGCAGGGATGCGGGGCAGCAGGGATGCGGGGCAGCAGGGATGCCAGGGAGCAGGGATGCGGGGAGCAGGGATGCCGGGCAGCAGGGATGCCGGGCAGCAGGGATGCCGGGCAGCAGGGATGCCGGGCAGCAGGGATGCAGGGCAGCAGGGATGTTGAGGAGCAGGGATGCAGGGCAGCAGGGATGCAGGGCAGCAGGGATGCAGGGCAGCAGGAATGCCGGGCAGCAGGAATGCAGGGGAGCAGGGATGCCGGGGAGCAGGGATGCCGGGCAGCAGGGATGCCGGGCAGCAGGGATGCCGGGCAGCAGGGATGCCGGGCAGCAGGGATGTTGAGGAGCAGGGATGCGGGGAGCAGGGATGCCGGGGAGCAGGGATGCAGGGCAGCAGGGATGCGGGGCAGCAGGGATGCGGGGCAGCAGGGATGCGGGGCAGCAGGGATGCAGGGATGCCGGGGAGCAGGGATGCCGGGGAGCAGGGATGCAGGGCAGCAGGGATGCCGGGCAGCAGGATCTTACCTGGCACTTTGGAAGGTCGCAGATGCAGATTTTCCAATAGCCCCAAATCCAACTCCCACCGCCAGACCCTCTGAAACAGGAAGGAAGAAATCAGTGAGGTCAAACCCTACCACTGCCCTGAGATCTCCCCTCCTCCTGCGCATCCATGGAGCACAGAGCGGTGTGAGCAGGAACACAGGACCCCAGGCCTGGTCATTGCCATAATCTAAGTGTGTTTAACTGGACCTTAAAGCAGAGCCTGCCCAGGGAGCTTCCCCTCTGTGAACCCAACCAGGAGTTTCATAGGAAGTCAATGCAGAGATTTCTGTATTTGGTGGATTGAGATGAGCTCTTTGCTGTGAAGGTGCTGAGGCACTGGATTCCTCTTTTCTAACATTCCTGTAGGCTGTTATTCAAGGCCAGATTGGACACAGGGGCTTGGAGCAAGCTGCTCCAGTGGAAGGTGCCCCTGCCCGTGGCAGGGGTTGGAGCTGGATGAGCTTTTAGGTTCCTTCAACCCAAACCAGTTTGTGGTTCTATGAGTGCACAGGAGGGGACAAGGTGACAACCCTCGTCAGCTGAAAGGCTTTTAATAAGGAGCAATGCAGTGCAAAACACCAAAGTCTGTTAAATAATACTCAAGGTCATCAAATATCCCTGCATCGCGGCGTCTCTGCAAGGCGCAGATGGGACTGGTGCTGCAGATGGGACTGGTGCCACAGATGGGACTGGTGCCACAGATGGGACTGGTGCCGCAGCTGGAACTGCAGAGGAACCAAACACCAACTTCTCCCATGACGTCCTCAGAAGCACTGCTAAGCCAGGACCAGGCTGCCAGCAGTGCCACCTCCCTGGGCCCAAATCCCAGCACTACACCGAACAGTCTCCGAGGCAGAAGGGAACCCAACCTCCATGAGGGATCTCCCACCGTGAGGATGATTTCAGATTCTAGCTCACCCCAAATCCCACAGAAACCAGCCAAGGAGCATTCCCAGGAGGGCAGCGGGGGCGGGAGACCCACGACCCACCACTGCCTCCTCCATCATGCTTCATCCTTCCCACTCCCCTCTGTCCCTCTCTCGAACTTCCCTTCCCACCACGGGCACAGCTCCCTCAACCCTCCCAGGAATCAGAAATACCTCATTTTTAGCAGGCATCAAACCACTGCTGCTTGGTTTTCCACTCTTCAAAATCCCCCGTTTTGTTTTGGCAGCCTCAGGGGGGGGGATCAGCAAGGAAGGAAAGAACATTTAAAGAACAAAAGCTAAACCTGTTTGTGGAGCTGCCTGAGTTTTACAGCCTTGGAAGGAGGCAATTACCCGCTCCAGCTGCTGGCAGCCACGGGAAGGGACAGTGGGGACTATTGAGATGAGCATTCAAGCAGGTTGGAGATGTCACTGAGGGTGTTTACCTGCGCCCTGGAGGATGAGGTCTGGGAAGAAGAGGACCATGTGTGTGGTTCTGGTCTTCTGAATCTCCCGTTGCCTTGGAAACACACCATAAAAAGCAGCACTAACTCTGCTAATCACAGCATTTGCATCCTTGAGTCCAGGCGGAGCGGGGAGAACTGAAACACTCGGCAGCTCCTCAGAGCCTGGATCCACAGCTTGTGCCAAGGCATGGGATGGAGACAGGGAAAACAACAGCAGCAATCCCTGAGTGCAGGGTTCTGGGGTAAGGAGACTCCCAATTGTCCCTAAAATACCAGATTTGGGGGAACCTGGCCTTGAACACTGCCAGGGATGGAGCAGCCACAGCTTCTCTGGGCACCCTGTGCCAGCGCCTCAGCACCCTCACAGGGAAGAGCTTGCCCAGGAAGCCAGGTTGGATGGGGCTTGGAGTGGAAGGTGTCCTTGTAATTCAGTCTGTGATTCAATGGAAGCAACATTCAAAGGACAGAAGCGCTTGTTTGTGTGAATCACAAAAATAGCTTTGACAGAGGGGAAAAACCACAACGATTTCCCCGCTGCAAAACAAGCCTCATGGAATAAGAACCTCAGCAGCACAATTAATGAGAGTGCAAATCACAGCTACGTGGAAACAAACCATGGGGAATGAAAATCAACAGATGGCGTGTAGAGAACTGCTTGCTTGGAGAGGCAGAAGCAGCCCAGGGTGGAAGCTGCAGCACGGTGGGAGATGCTCCCCAGTGCAGAAGGAAGGTGACACAGCAGCCCCTGGCCGTTGGCTTGGCCAGGTCCCCTCATCCCCCCAGAGGACACAAGAGCTGGGGCAGGATGGAACAAACATGAACTGGCCAATGGGTTGCTAAGCCCGGAGCATCCGATGGGAACTCACCACCAAGTATCTGATGTCACATGTGGTCCAGAAAGCAGGGACCATCCCAGCACACCCCACGGTCACTACCAATGCTCAGGAAGCCTCTAACTCGATGTATCAGATACCGTGTGATGCACTCCAAGTATTTCTGTCAGACAAGACCACAGAACCACCTCACTGCTTCAGCGACACACATTCAGCCTCTTGCAAAGATGTCAAACCTCCAACTGACTCTGCTGTGCAGGTAAGGAAGCAGATACACAAAGCTTCACATGGAAAACAAGCAGAAAGAGCTTGCTGCTGGCTTGCCCATGCTCAAAGCTCAATGCTTGCTCAGCCCTCCGGTTGCAGCTCCTCTCCCATGTATTGTGCACATCACCCTCAAATTATAAATAGCTCGAGTGGCTTCTTCAGGTAGGAAAAGACACAGAAAGAGAAAGGTTAATGTTTCTATGTCAACCACTTACGGATACGCTGCGCTGAAGGCTCTGCAAATGGATGACTAAGACACCAGGTCACCGACAATGGGAACGGGAGAACAGCTCTTACCTGCTGAAGGCTCAGGCATCAGCTTGAAACAAAGAGCCCAGCGTGATTTCTGGTTCTCAGCATCGCTGTGAGCAGAGGAGCACAGTCCTGGGCAGCCCTCATCAACTGAAGGATCTCCCATGGGCCACCCCTCTGCAGAGGACAAGGCAAAAGCCCCACAGCTTGGGATGGAACAGAGGGTGGAAAGAAGCCGTGCATGTCCCATAGGAAACATCTCCATGTCAAGACAGGGGTTTTCCCAGGATCTCAGTTGTCAGCCCCTCCTGCAAGCAGTGATGGAGTGGGAAGAGCCAGAGGCCCCATGCACTCTGGTTAGCTGGAGGGCCCCCACGGTGACAGCACCAGGCTGAGATGCTCATTCAGCATCCTTGTGCTGAGTTGCACAACAAAGGAAGAAGAATATGACCAACCTAAGCCACTGCCAAGGAAATGAGTCTATTTAGCCTAAACAGAGGGATTCTGCCTCTCTTGGGCTTCCTTGGCTTTACCATTCAAGACACTTTATCCTGATAAAGCGTTACCCAGGGATCAGACTAAGCCTATGCTAACTTAAGGATCAGCTCGGTCAGCAGTGCTCATTGCAAAGATGTGCTTCCTCTTCTTCTTTTCTGAGGAAGAGAAAGGAAAAGCTTTGAAACCTCCAACTGAAAAGCAATAACCATGCTGGAGCATCACTACAGAGACTCCTGTTAATAATAGCTAGGGATAGGTTAAGCTGCCTGCCGATCGTGGTGGCGAGGGCAAAAAGCATGATACCCATAAGTGCCCTTACATACTACATCTGAAACACAGACCTGATCTAAAGCAGTGAAAGCAAATCAAGCAAGCTGTGATTTTAAACCCCATTGAGGGCAGTGTAAGCAGCCAGGCAGGGATCCCAGCCCTGCATCTCAACCAGCAGCCAGGAAAACCCAGGGTGTGGGTTTGTGGGGCTCCTCAAGATCCTGCCATTGCCAGCTCTAGTTCCGAGCATGAAATGAGCTTCCCAGCCACTACGGGAAGCCACGTGGGATCCTCAGGAGGCATGTTCACAACAGCAACTGAAAAGAAAAGCCCTTGAAACTCCTCAGAGAGCCAAAGCAGTAAATTGGAAGCATCGCTCACAGGGCCCTGATAAATTAGAGGCGAGCAAATTAACCCCAGTTATGAAGTTACTGTTACACAGCACAAAAAGCAAGAACATAGGCAGTGGATAGAGGACAATACTATAGAATCCCAGACTGGTTTAAGGTTGGAAGAGACCTTAAAGCTCCTCCAGCTCCAACCCCTGCCACGGGCAGGGACCCCTTCCACTAGAGCAGTAGAGCAGCTTGCTCCAAGCCCCTGTGTCCAACCTGGCCTTGAATAACAGCCTACAGGAATGTTAGAAAAGAAGAATCCACTGACCACCCCCCCTTTTCTCCCATATCAGTTTGCCAGCACATAGGCAGGATTTCAGTGACGTTGCAGCATCCCAGAGCCTTTTTCCAGGCAGTAATGCCCTCCGAGTCTCACCTCATGTACAAACGTGGTACCAGGATGCCACAGGCAGAGCTGACCCTGCTCCTGTGGAGCAGCATCAGGCACAGATCTGTTCATTGCCCTTTAGTTTATCCCATGCTTCCTGCTCTCTGCGAGGATGCAGCAGCACAGCCCACCCATGGGGGTCTTTGCCTACAAAATACCCCTGCAGGAAACTGCTGTGGGGATGCCGCACAGCCCAACCGGGCAGGAGGAGAATCCACCAGGACAATGAAACAAGAGTAACTCACACATCCCACAGTGTGAGCAGAGGCAAAATCCTGGCCTTGGAGGGAGGGCAAAGAGCAGGGGAAAAGCAGGTTTGTAAATAGCTTCTACCTAGAGCAGAAATCCCACAGCTCTGCCGGCCAGGCCATGGGATCTGTGGGGCAGACGAGGGGAGCGCGGCTCAGCAGAGGTTTGTGCCTGCAGGGCTTTGAGAGAAATGGAAAGAATTATGGACTGAAGAGCAGTAAATGCCTTTGTGAGCAAAGGAAAGAGCCCTGTCTCACGTGCAACTGCTGAGAACTCCCTTTGCATGAGCTACCGCATCCCTGCCACAACACAGGACCGCGGGTGCCAACATGGACATGGACCAGAGCCACGCTCACGGGGTTCGTGGCAAAAGCATCCCCTGATTAAGCAGAGCAAACACTGCCAGGCTCATCAACCCTCTCCTCTGTAATCCCAAAAGCTGGATGTACCTCAGTGTTTAACACCCCCCGACCCACGGTCAGCAGCAAGGCTGGGAGCCCGCATCCC